CTTCTTGATATTATCTCGTACCATGATCGTGGATTATCCAAAATAACAGGTACAGTTCTTGATATGAGGTCGATATCATATAAAGATTCCATTGCACAAGAACCCGTTTCCCACCTGCGAAGACATGGAGTGTAAGCATTATCAGAATCTTTTCAACTTGACAAAAAAATAACAGTGTGCATAAGCATATGTAGGTCTGGTGCTTAAGAAGCAACACCTTTGTTGTGAAGTTGCATTGCTTGATTGAAGGACCCCCTTTGTATTGTGCACTGAATTGAGGCACATCTTTGCGGGCATGACAAGCACCCTGCAGAATGGGGCCATTGCACATTAGCATAATTCCACATTGCACGCAAATTGGTGAAATTGAGAACTTGAAGTGCAACAGAGTTTTCATCCAATCTCCTTTGGTGCTTCCTATCTTCTAACAGCATAGAAGATCGATGCAATTTGGAATTCAATCGACATGACCATCTTTAACCACCGGAATCCATTTCTAGACGCCAAGGGCCACCTAGCGACCTCAATCAACGCGGGAGAAGAGAAGGAGGGGGGCGAAGCGACGACACCAAATTACCTGTCGAGGAAGAGGGCCTCCTCGAGGGCGCAGCGGAGGCTGGACTCCTGGTGCCCGAGGCCCGCGCAGGAGCCGCAGTGCTTGCCGGGGCAGTCGACGCGGCTTCCCCAGTAAAGGTACCTCCGGTTGCCGTCCCTCTTGTCGACGTCGCGGGGCCGGAACCCCAGGAAGGACAGCGTGTCCGTGAAGGTCAGCGTGTCAGTGAAGGACAGGATGCACAGGATGGAGAGAGCGGTCGCGACAGTGATAGCGGCCAGGAGGGCCCTCTTCAGGGGTAGCGGCAGCTGCTGCCTGCGGCCGCCGGTGATCCGGGGATGGATCGCCATGGGAGGTGTGGGAATGTGCTCTGGCTATTTTCGCGAGTGGATACGAGGAAGAGGGCGAGGAAGGGATCCAATGTATGGGGCCGTATTGGGGCTTGGATCAGCCCAATAGTAATTTGGGCAATTTGGACCCATGGCGCTTTCAGCAGCCCGTGTGCAGCAGGTTATTTGTGCAAACACGCTAAGTATCAAATTTGTGCAAACACAGCTTAAAAAAAATTGTGCAAACAAATAACATTTATCCTCGTTTTTAAGTTTCTCGAATAGTTTGTCTTATTATTTGATTGTATATTTTAATATAAATATTTATTTATTATCGTGAGAAGATTATAATTCTCGGTTATGTTTTTGATTGAGACTTTGAGTTACAGTGACAAAAGCAATAAATATTTTTTACGGAACATCTAACGCCTGGACGTCCGGACTGGACGCTCGCGCCTGTTGCTCCTGCATCATGTGAGGGCCCGCGCCACTCCATGTCCCGCGTGCGCTTCGTGTCCCACGCCCACATCGTGGCGCCCCCTCCACACCCACGCGCATGCAGGGGACACAACATGTGCAACACCAAGATCTACTTTTACAATATCTAGATAAAACACTTGCAACATACGTCTAAAACAATTCAAACACTTGCAACAAGAAAACACGTTTGTAGCCACTGCAAAACATATGTAACATCCAGATAAAACATTTGCAATATACGCTTGTAATATGCATGTATATGCAACATCCAGATCTACTTTTGTAACATCTAGATGAAACACTTGCAACATACATCTGAAACAGATGAAACATTTATGACATACACTTGAAAACACCATTGCAACATGTGCAACATCTCGATCTACATTTGCAACATCGATATAAAACACTTGCAACATAGCTCTAGAACATTTGAAACACTTGAAATAGATGCTTGCAACATGCAGTTTCAACGCAACATCTCCTTGCTACATGGGAGAATGGATCCTCGTTGGCGTGTGGAGTTCTATCTCTACCGTCACGGGCTATACGCGGGCAACTTCCGCCCAGCCACAACGAACTGGGTAGGCAGGCGCGAGATGTGCGTGAACGGGCTCTGCCCGAGCTACCATGAGCTACATGCGGGTGAGCTCCACACCCGCCCGCAGCGAGCTGGATAGGCGGGGGCGGAGGTCTTCCTAGCCGCTGACCAGGCGTTCGGCCCCGTGGTGGAGGCGGCAGCAGTCTCCCTCACCACGGGCGGGTGGCGCATCACCGTTGACCATGCTATTTTCTACTTGTGACCAACTTCTCATAAGTACAGCCTAATCAATTGTGGTTGCTCTTCTAGCGAGCTTATCATGCATACACATCGAGTAGTTTATGGACTGATTGCATATAAAACCAAATTCACATGAAAGGATACAACAATAGTTTATATAATAACTTAGCCTTATGTTTCAATTAAATACATATCACGCTAGAAAAAAAAAGATAATTCTTATACATTATAACTATATGTTTTTTATGGTGCCTCCACGTTAATCCTCGTGAGGCCGTCTAGACAAGAAAAGATAAACCCTAAAAATTCTAACAAAAATAAAAATACTTAGTCATCAATTCAATAGACTATAATCAACATTGATAATAATGACCATTGTATCTTTCTATTTTAATTTCAAACAATGTAAACCCATAATACTATATTCAAATTATGCGCCTATGCCACCTAAATTTGCAATTATCCACATGCTAATATGATAGATAATCTACACAACTCCTTAAATTTGCATCTAAACTGCCACTTCAGTCATCATTAAAAAATAAATTATTCTCCTCAAATCTTCATGTAAATTATTAAAACATTCTATTAAAAAAGTTTAAATAACCATTAAGCATATATGTTTCTGCATGTTTGTAATGGAACCAATGGGGAAAATATATACATATATAAAACACATCTAGGGTTTATCTCTCCCTCAAACATCCACACATCTCCTCTGTCACAGCCCACACACACATCTTCGCCTCTGCCCGTCCGCCCCCTCACTCCGTTAGCTAGATCTATGTGACCTCTGTCTCCTCTCCTCTACTCAGATCGGTGGCTCTCTGTTAGATCCAAGCGATCGACCGGGGGGCTCGATGAGAGTGTGGGTGGGCTTGAGTATTTTTTCAGAAAATATTAGATTTTTACCACTGGTTTGAAAATAGTGGTAATGAAGTTCCTTATCACCATACACTTTCATCGATGAAGCGCGAAACTAGGCGATGAAAATGGGTTACAAACCGTCAATGATGAGGGTCCTGTAGTACTGTTAGATATATCTATATATCTTAACTAAAACATTTAACATATCTATATTGATAGTGTAACCATTGCTGCACATATGATTCCTTGACAATAAATTCTAACATCTTGAGAAATGAGGGATGTTTAGAGCAATTATTCCTGATTAAGAAAACTCAAATCGCTTATCTAACTAATAAAGGGGTTTCAAAAAAACAAGATTAAGGTTATTTAGGGGAGTTGTAATCAAGTAGATTGAGAAAACCCGGTGCCCTTTCCATCCAATGACATTGCCGGCAAGAGAGAAGAGACGCGTCTGTTTGGGAATAGGCTTCATCGAACGGATGTCCTCCTTGCCAAGGCGAAGTTTCACTGTGTATTTAAACCCAAGATCAATTAATGGAAAACACAACTTCGTGTCGTTCATCCACCATGGGGGTGCATAGAAGATGTTTGGACCTAGGGTCCACCCAATTTAATTCGCTATTTATAGTATGTTCGAGGAGGAGCTCTGCTGTCAGAACATCCTGTGGTTGGAAGAATGGCATATAAAATGGGTGTGGTCGAGTTGTTTAGGGAAATTCAGCAAGAACATGGGAGGAACAGCTCAGTGGCTGACTTGTGACGCAATTTAATCCTCTCCGTTTCAAGCTGTTGGCGTCCAATTGGCCAGACCTCAACGTACCCTCAAGGTAGCTGGGAGTTGGAAGGTGCTTTATTTTCTACGGCTGTTGCCTGGATATGTTTGTTTGCACCTGGTGCTCAAGACTTTGACACAGAAAATAGACCTCGACAATCATAGTTATTCCACATGGACCATGGCGGTGTTTTTTGTGCAGCTACTAGCTCGAATGTCTGATCAGGTCGGTCTGGCCAGATAGACGTAGTTTATTTACACACATTGTGTATGGATCGTGCCATTGTGCATGGTTTATTTACCAAATAGTGAGTGAGCATGTACAATATATAACTAGCGATAACTCGCGCAAATAGCGTAGGTACTTAGTTTTTTCCCATTGTAATCATTTAGCTTGAAAATATTTTTTTTTCAAAAAGTTTTCTCAATGTTCCCCGCTAAATCAACTCGCACGAATTCCATACAAATATGAGCTATCACCAATCAATTCCTTAGCTCAAATCCCATGGCTGTGTGATTTTCGCTGAAGCCAGAGCAAAGTAACCTTCAATTCTTTGGCCAGAGCAAAGTCTCTCTCTCCCCCCCTCACCCCCGGGAAATTACATTACCAGATTCGTCATAACATTGTTCATGTCTGTTGGAGCCACCATCCCGTCATCACAACAATATTCATTGGGGCAAGCATTTCAAAATAAATTGCTGAATCATCATTAACACCAGTGAACTGCTGATTTCTGGCCTGTAGTCCACGGCTCTTATCTTCACCAGATGATCCGCCGGGTTGCTCTTAAGCTACACCATTTCATCTGATGTCCTTGATCTTCGAGAACTTCAACTGTGTCATCTCTCTGATGATCTGCCGGCCGGTGACTGTCTTCTCACTGTATCATCTAGTCTGGCCTCTGTCTTCTATGGCCGACTTATTGGATCAAGTGATCTAGTGAATGCTCTAGCAGGAAACTTTAGGGAATCTTCGTCGTTTCTTCTCTGTTTCAACTTTGATCTTGATCAAACTTTAAATTTGCATCCCTGTGACCTATTATGACATGTCTAATGAATCTTTAGCACACATGTTTGTCCTAAACATGTGTTGTCCTTCCAATCACCAAAACAGATAGGACCACGGCCACATTCACCAAGTTGGGGGAGGATGCTGTTTTTCTTTGTTCCAATAGTTTCTTAGGCCTAAATTACAACTTTTGGGAGTCTTTTTTTTTACCAAACAAACACTTGGAGATGCTGTAAAAAAATGTAAAATTGCAATTCAACAAGAAATATTTTACTTGTTATTACAAGGACAGGGCAGCGACGATGTAATAATAACAGGTACAAAAATATGCAACACAAAATTAAAGCAGTTCACACGGTTTACGCTCAAAAAAAAAAGAAAAAAGAGAAGCGATCTGATGATTAACACAACTAGTTGACGACCTGGCAGTTCGTCCTGATCTCGCCGTTGGTGCCGGTCTTAACCTCGATGCTGGCCATCTTGACCATGGCCGCCTTGAACTTCTGCTCCCACAGCCCCGGGACGAAGGCGTTGAGCTGCACCGACGCCGCGGTCTGCCCGGACTGGAGGAGCGCCGCGTCCGACGTGAAGAGCACGTTCCTGGCCAGCACGTTCTTGTAGTACTGGTTGTCCAGCGCGTCTGGCGTCACGACGTCCTGCACCACGGTGTTGTCGGTGGCGGCGTTGGCCGGGCACTGCTGCTGCAGCGACGCGGCGAGCGCGGGGTTCATGTCGGACGTGAACGCGTTGAGGCGGCCGTCTCTGACGAAGGACGAGCAGTGGGAGCGGCCGACGGTGTGCGCGCCGGAGAGCACGACGAGGTCGTCGACGCCGAGCCCCTTGGCGGCGAAGCTGGCGGCGAGCTGGGAGAGGTTGAAGGAGGGCGGCGACAGATTCTGGAGCGCCTCGCTGGACAGGGACACGCGGCCGTCGCGGCGTCCCGCGGGCATCGCGAAGTCGGCCGTGCCCCCGCTGAGGGCGGCGCTGGCGTCGCGGCCGGCGAAGGCGACGACGTCGGCGCAGGAGACCGTGCCCGGGCAGGCCGCCTCGAGCGCCGCCTTGGCCGCGTCGATGACCTCGAAGCCGCGCAGGCTGGGGAAGTTGGGAGGCGACAGCTTCTCCGGCTGCGGGTTCGCCGGGGTCGGGTCGAGGAGCACGGAGCCGTCGCAGCCCTAAATGATGAGATCGAACCCACACGGTCAGGCAAGGCACGTACGTGCACCGTGCACGGTGCTGGACCTGCTGGTGTCTGGTGCATGTAGCTAGAGCACTGAAGAATTACACAATGCATATATACCTGGAAGAAGCAGTCGTGGAAGAGCATTCGGATGAGGCCTGCCCCGACGCCAGGGTTCTGCTGCACCGCCTTGGTCACGACGCCCCTCACGATGGCTTCGGCGCTGGGGCACGCGTAGCTGTAGAAGCCAACGGCCAGGCCGGCGCCGCTCGGGGTCGGCGTCGGCGTCGGCGTCGGCGTCGGCGTCGGACTGGGGTAGTAACCGTAGCCGTCAGCGTGGCAGGAAATCATCACCGAACACAGCAACACAAAGGATGTCAGCGCCTTGTTTAGATGCCATCCAAATTCCAATTTTTTTCATTCTTTCTCCATCACATCAATTTTTAGCCGCTTGCATGGAGTATTAAATATAGGTAAAAAAAATAACTAATTACATAGTTTAGTTGGAAATCACGAGATGAATCTTTTGAGCCTAGTTGGTCCACGATTGAACAATATTTGCCAAATAAGACGAAAATGATACTATTCATCGGTTCACTTTTTTTTTCAAAGTGAACGAGGCCCAGAACGGAAAGCCTGCTGGCCATCGTTCCTACTGTGTTTGTGTGCGAACAGTGAGTGCTGTGTGTGCTGTAGACCTGTACGTAGTTGTGCAGGAAGTGATGGCGGTGGAGACGAGCTGCTGGTTGGCACGTGTATTTATAGTCGTCGCTGATGAACGGAGAAGTACAAGAGCAGACAACGACGACGGTGCGTTAGGGATCGGTTGAGTTCATCTGCTCAATGCCTCAATGTCAGAGACCAGCAATGATATAGGAGACAAATTAACAGAGCTCACCACCAGTTGACTTATGCCCCAGGCCTTGTTTAGATGCCATCCAAATTTCAAGTTTTTTCATTCTCTCTCCATCACATCAATTTTTAGCCATTTGCATGGAGTATTAAATATAGGTAAAAAAAAATTAATTACACAGTTTAGTTAGAAATCACGAGATGAATCTTTTGAGCCTAGTTAATCTACGATTGGACAATATTTACCAAATAAGACGAAAGTGATACTATTCATCAGGTTCACTTTTTTTCCGATCTAAACAAGGCGCCAGTTGAAAATTGATGACCGACGTCATGAAATGGTCTCATCTCATCATTGGCCTCAACCTCATGAAATGAATGAGACGGGAATAATACGCGCTATGATGTTGGTTACGTACAGGTGTCAGTTTGCAAATTTAATTTGCATAGAATAGATATACATATACCACCAGTACTATATAACAGTATCTAGAAGAATTGCATATATAGATTGTTAAGATACTTAAATATATTGTAATCACTGTGACGAGATTGACTTGCACTGGTCTAGGATATATAAGGCTGTAGAATATATTGTTATACTTTTAGGAGGATAATTTCCTTGTAAATAGGATCTAGATTTTTCTATTACCAGCAAGCAATCTCGGAAACATCTTGTAAACCACATCGGGGGTGTTTTCCTGGCCTATATTAACATGCAGACGGGCACGGCAAAGGTGCGACGCTTCAATACCCGGAAATTCTCACATGGTACCAGAGCCTCTTCTCTAAAAAAAAGAGAGAGAAAAGAGAGTTGTGAGATAACGATCCCATCTACACCAATTCTCATGGCGAGTTCATCCAACAGTCTCATCGCCACGAACGCCATCGGTCATCCCGTGACTGAACGGCTCACCAAGACGAACCATCCGTTGTGGAAGCTTCAGGTTCTTCCTGCGCTTCGTGGTGCCCAATTGATCGGGTACGTTGACGGCACGGTCCAAGCTCCGGCCGTCGAGATCGATGATGACAAAGAGAAGAAGAAGGTGCCGAACCCTGCATACGTGCAGTGGCTAACACAAGACCAGCAGGTCTTTAGCTACCTCGTGTCTTCGCTTTCTCGTGAAGTGTTGACACAGGTCGCGACGTGCACTTATGCTGCACAATTGTGGAAGGCGTTGGAGGACATGTATGCCTCCCAGACGCGTGCACGAATTGTCAACACTCGGATCGCGCTGACGACGACTCAAAAAGGCAACATGACGATTGCCGAATATGTCGGCAAGATGAAGACGCTCGCCGATGAGATGGCCACCGCCGACAAGCCTATTGATGACGAGGAGCTCGTGAGTTATATCATCACAGGCCTTGATCTGGAATATAATCCAGTTATCTCTGCAGTCCTTGCTCGTGTTGAACCGATAACGGTCAACGAATTGTACACGCAGTTGACAAATTTTGAGCAGCGTGTTGATCTCTGGCATGGGGGGTCGCCCTCTTCTGTTAACACGGCCGCGCGCCGTGGCCGCGGTGCTGGCCGTGGTGCTGTCCGTGATACTGGTGCTCGTGGAAGAGGTGCCAACCGTGGACGTGGCAATGGTGGCCGTGGACGTGGAGGCTTCCCAGGCAACAACAACAAGAATCGGCCTGCCAACAATTTCGTCAACAGTAACGGTGATAAGCCCTTGTGCCAGGTCTGCTTCAAGGAAGGTCATACTGCTGCTGATTGTTGGCACCGTTACGATGAAACTTATGTACCTGATCAGAGGCTTGTTAATGCTGCTACAGTGCTACGCCATCATATACTGTGGATACCAATTGGCATGCGGATACAGGAGCCACAGATCACATCACGGGCGAGTTAGAGAAACTAACCACCCGTGATAGGTATACCGGAGGCGATCAAATTCATACTGCTAGTGGCGCAGGTATGAACATTAGTCATGTTTCAATCTATTCTTCATACCCCCGATTGCAATCTTCACTTGAAAAATATTCTTCATGTTCCAAATGCTAAGAAAAATTTAGTTTTAGTTCATCGTTTTACTACTGATAATCATGCCTTTATGGAATTTCTCCATGATTTCTTTTTTGCCAAGGACCAGGACACGAAGAAAACTCTTCTGCGAGGCAGATGTAGACATGGCCTTTATCCCCTTCCTTCTACATCCATTGATGCCAAGAGACATGTTTTTGGAATCAATAAAGTGTCACCATCAAGGTGGCACAGTCGTTTAGGCCATCCGTCTTATTCTATTACTCAGCATGTTATTAGTACAAATAGATTGCCATGTTCTAGTGAGTCAAATAAACAATCTATCTGTGATTCTTGTCAAATGGCCAAGAGCTATCAGCTTCCGTATCCAAAATCCACTAGTATTTCTTCTGCCCCTTTGCAGCTTGTGTTTTCCGATGTTTGGGGTCCTGCTCCTGATTCTGTGGGTAGAAACAAATACTATGTCAGTTTCATTGATGATTATAGTAAATTTACCTGGATTTATTTACTCAAGTATAAATCCGAAGTCTTTCAAAAATTCCATGATTTCCGGCAACTTGTTGAGAGACAATTTAATAGAAAAATTATAGCTGTTCAAACAGACTGGGGTGGAGAATATGAGAAACTAAATTCTTTCTTTACCAAAATTGGTATTTCTCATCATATTTCATGTCCTCATGCTCATCAACAAAATGGATCAGCAGAGCGTAAACATCGTCATATAGTCGAAGTGGGTCTAGCTATCCTTGCTAATGCTTGCATGCCTCTAAAATTTTGGGACAAGGACTTTATCACTGCTGTCTTTCTTATTAATAGAATCCCTAGCAAGGTTATATATTTTGCTACACCTTTTGAGCGCTTGTATAATCAACAGCCTGATTATTCATCTCTTCGTGTTTTTAGCTGTGCTTGCTGGCCTAATCTTCGACCCTATAATTCTAGAAAACTTGAGTTTCGCTCAAAGCGTTGTGTCTTTCTTGGATATAGTAACCTACATAAAGGTTACAAATGCCTCGACATCTCCACTGGCCGAGTCTATATTTCTCGAGATGTTGTCTTTGATGAAGAAATATTTCTCTTTAAGGACATACATCCTAATGCTGGAGCACGGCTTCGTTCTGAGATTCTATTGTTACCCTCTTCCTTGCGCGATAATTTTGGGGATGAACAATTAGATGACCACTTAACTAATGTTCCGGTTAATTTGCCACAAAATTTGGATAACAATGACAGTTTCCTACTGACAAATGATGCTGAGATGGTACAGGTACAGAATTTTCCAGGAGCTATACCACCCGAGGTGGATTCGTCCTTGTCCGCACCAGGAGCGCCTGCTGCGACGACGTCTTCTCCTTGCTTCGTGCGCGAGCAAGAAACGTGTCCTGCTGCTGTGCTGAGCCATGGGGAGGAGGCTGCCCCATCCGAAGTCTCCGTGCATGCCACGAACGAGAGGACAGCAGGGACATACAGCTCAACGGTGGAAGACCAAACTCAGCATCCTGCATCCACTCAATTCCCAACAACCGGATCATCTGTGGAGCCAACTCCGGAGGCTTCTGTGCAACATAGGCCTGTCACACGACTTCAGCATGGGATTAGACAACCAAAAATCAGAACTGATGGCACAATCAGGTATGGCTGTTTTACTAGTACCGGGTGAACCCCAAAATCTAGAAGAAGCTTTAAACGATGAAAGGTGGAAAGCGGCTATGGATACTGAATATCATGCACTCATGGAGAATAAAACTTGCATCTAGTTCCTCCGGAGAAGGGTAGAAATATAATTGATTGCAAATGAGTTTATAAAATCAAAAGAAAGGCTGATGGTATAATAGATAGGTACAAAGCTCGTCTAGTTGCAAAAGGTTTTAAGCAGCGATATGATATTGACTATGAAGAACATTTAGTCCAGTAGTGAAGGCTACCACTATCAGGATGGTGTTGTCTATTGCAATTTCTAACGGGTGGTCACTTCGCCAATTGGATGTTCAGAATGCGTTTCTTCATGGCATTCTAGAGGAGGAAGTTTATATGAGACAACCTCCAGGGTATGAGAAGCAGTCTATGTCACAGTATGTATGCAAATTAGATAAGGCTTTATATGGTCTAAAACAGGCACCCAGAGCTTGGTACTCTCGGCTGAGTCAGAAATTACAAGATATTGGTTTCCAAGCATCAAAGGCTGATATCTTCTATAAGAAAGGTGATATTACAATATTTTTGCTAATATAGAAAGGTGATATTACAATATTTTTGCTAATATATGTTGACGATATTATAGTCACAAGTTCATCATCAGATGCTGTGGATGCACTTATCCAAGATTTGAAGAAGGAATTCGCATTGAAGGATCTAGGGGATCTACATTATTTTCTGGGTATTGAAGTAAACAAGGTATCTGATGGTATTTTATTGTCACAAGAAAAATATGCATCGGATATAATCAAACGTGTGAACATGCAACACTGCAAATCAGTTAGCACTCCGTTATCTACTTCTGAAA